ATTATTCCTTAAATATTTAAATAGTATCCTTGCCTTACTTTGATATGTTTAACGCTAATTAAATTAGTTCCTAAGAAGTTAGGGATGTACTGTACTTATGAGCCTTACTAATTAAACATTTAATTTGTATTGATAATGAAAATTCAATTGATTTAACTGTAACTATTTGGTTTTAATTCCTGATTGTGAAATGTTTCTCATGAAGTAAGATGATAAGATTAATCGAATCGAAGGATATGAAAATGCTCTCTACAACTGGTAAATGCTATAAATGTTGATAAGCTCTATTAGAATTAATAAATTTCTCTTTATATACAAGTTACTATTTTGTAAAATTATATTATTTTTTCAATTTCATAACTTAAAGAATTACTTTTATAAATAACTTCTATTCTTATATCTATTTATAACCGAAAATTTTAACTGTTAACAAGTAATAAACTGGTTTATAAATCTGAAAGTAAATAAATCTTTCCAGAAGAGATACAATAAAAATGTTACTTGCTGAATTGCCCGAAACTTACACGATGGTAGGAAAGAGCATTATCTCTAAAAACACTAGTTTAAATTATCCATTTCTTGGTATAGATATGAATATATCCCTATCGTTTCGTTGTGTCATCAGTAAATTATATCACTGAACCTACGTAAGTCAATATTTTAGGTAAAATATACAGTGGACTAATATTATTATTATTTAACTCTATAGAAATGAATTAAAATTTATTTGCGACTATAATATATTATATATTTAATACTGATATTATTATATAAAGGTGTACATTTTAAGGAATAAATATAGACCATAAAACGTTTCATTTAGACTAAACATGCAGTGATGTTATAGACTTAATGTATTTGTAATTCTTATGAACATTTCATAATGTTCTGTACCTTTATGTCTTCTAAAATAATATAAAAATTCGAAATTCATTAATTAATTTCGTTAAAATTTTAAGTATTAATGCATCAAATTAAAACATCAATATTTTTAATCAAAAATTTCTCACAGTAATGAAACCTTATGTAGCTTTGACTATTCGTTATTGAAACAGATAATGACAATGTGAAATTTCTAGTATTGTGAATACAGTGGAATAAAAAAAAATTAATTATAAGATAACATCGTATGATAAATTTATAAATATAATGAAATTTCCATTAGCTGATTAATATAATGTCATGTGGTTATATATGCCCAATTTTAATAAGTAGATAAGTGATTAAAATAGGATTTTCTTTTAACAGAAAACGTTATCCACTTATCACTGAGGAAATCAATGCCATATTTTTCATATATATATATGTAAAAGATGTCAGTTTACCATAGATTGTACTGCTATTACGTGTGATAAACGAAAACATAAATTCACTCTTGTATAAATTTGATTTTGTAAATCTGCTTATTGCATTAGAGTTAGAATATTTACGAAATCAATTTCTGTTCGTTCTGTAATTTCTTTTTATATTAAATTTTTCTACAAATGGCACCCTTAAATGATTATATGAAAGATAACGAAATTGAAACATTTTTTTTTTATTAGTGAAACTACGAGCGAAGTATCTAAAACACCGGATGTTACATCGTCAAGTATAACAAAAAATACAAAATCAATAACTTCTTATCATCCAACGTCACCAACAATAACAGAAGAAGTAAAAACGACACCAGAAGAAATGCTTTACTGTGAAGGAAAAACATTTCAAGGTATTGAATGGCCGAGAACTTGTGCTGGTAAATATGCTACCATAAATTGTCCGAAAGAAACAGTTGGTAAGTGAAAAGTTAACATATTTTAACAAAAATGTCAATTTACAAGGTTTCAATTTAAAGATTTCATCTAATTGCAATATATAATATTATGTAGGAACGTGTAGATAAATTTAAAATATAGCTGAATATAACAATTAATCATTTTAAAATAATATTTTGTTTCAAAGTCAATTAAAAATTCTTTCGAAATAAGTGTTTTTTAATCATTAGTGGCATTGATAACACTCAATAAAAAACTCACATTTAATAATTTAATTTTCTTTCTTTAAAAATAAAAGCTCTGATTTTATGCGAATTTTCGTAATTACTAGACAGAATTCATTTTAATTTCTTTAATTTCAGTAATTATTTTAAATTATCATTATCCAGAAATGTTTTATTTTTCATTGAAAAGAAATTTATAAATCATTAAATAATAAAAACCATTCCATAAATCCATAATTATGTAAGGACCTTTGTAATTAAGAAATCCTATTAAATTATTTCTCATAAAATCTTTGAATTTTTTGAAAATAAACTGGTTTCAATAAGAGTTCTAAATAAAAATAGAATTCTTATTTAGGAAAAGCTTTGTGGTATTGCAATAAGTCTGGACATTGGGAGACAGAAGAACCGAATTTGGATGGTTGCATTAGTTCTTGGATTGATCAAATTAATCAAGAGGTAAGCCTATACGTGTTTATTTTTATTATTTTATTTTTTACGAAAATATATTTCAAGCATTTAATAATATTTTTATTATTTGTTTAAAGTTTATATATTTTATCATTTTTAAAGTCATTTTCTCGCAATTTGAAAATTAAAAGATCATTGGCCTATTCTATAGTTTCTTTTTGTTTATTATATTTATTAAAACTTTATAAAGTAAAATTGAAAATAAAAATAAAGTAAAAAGAATAAAATGGAATTTTACAAACCAAATATAAAAATAGAAAGAAAGCTTCAGTTCAAAAGGAATCTTTTATTCAATCGTTAACATCGGTAAGCAAATGGGCTCTTTCAATGCCATTTTATTCTTTCTTTTAACTTTTTCTTATTCCTTTCACGTTTTTTAACTACAAAAGCATCTAAAGACGAAATTATTTTCTATTTTACTATACCATATATTCCATATAAAGCCATAAGCATATATATATATAATATATGCTATATAGATGTGTGTGTATATGTGTTATGTAATTAAGACAAAGTTTAATTTTTATACTATTTATATTACTAGCATATATATGTATTATTTAAAAATATAGGTATATAAAAAATTAATTTCTATATAAGCATATACAATTAATTAATTTTTATACACTTCTATTTTTAAATAACACGTATAAAGTATATGTTATTTGAAAAAGTTTATTTATGTTTAGAAAATTAATGTGAATCTTTGTCCAAATAATGAACCGAACTTCGGTAACTGATGTTTATGACATTTATATTCTTTATGTCTTCCGTTTCACTTCATAACTTGGACAGACATCCTAAATTTCTCTCTCTGCTCTCTTGTCGGTATTAAAATGAAATATCGAGAGAAATTATTTTAAAAATCGATATTTCCTANGTTATATATATATATATATATATATATATATATAAATACTGCCTGAAAATCTCTTTTCTTTTGTTTCCTTCATCTGTCTGTGTGTGTCTAGCTTTCCATATTCTCCTACACGAAACAAAGTATACGCACATTTATATAAATGCAATAAAATAACGAAAGTACAAGTACAATACGACGTTTTTCTACATAGTGGCAGCCTCATAAATTTTTGCCGAATTAAATAAAGTTCGATTGAAGTTTTTTTTGTTTATTCTTCGCTAAAACGTAGCGAATTAACAATTCCAGAAATATTTTAAACGTTTTAATAGCGAGGTTGCGTCCGAAGTTTTCATCTCTCGAACGTGAACGTCGAACGTCGAGCGCCGCTTACAAGATAGCGGCACTCGACGTTCGACGTTCACGTTTTAGAAATAAAAACTTCGGCCATAACCTCGCTAATGAGTTTCTTGATATTGCACTACAAGATATAGTCGACAGAGACATAATTCCCCTATCTTACGCTGGTTTCTTATAATTTGGATTAATCTTACATCTTACAATGTTTTGTTCTGTCTTGCATATCAATGAAGACAATACGGGAGCAGATGTTTCAATTTTGATAAGAATATATCCCTTATAAAATATAGAAGAAATATATTATCATGAGAGAAATTGTGTTCCGTATCTCACGCAATATCTTACATAAGTAAAATCCAAGAAATCTTTTCATTTTTGTAGGAAAGATTCCATAGATCGATGATAATATTATTGTATAGTAAAATCACGTTTAAAATATTATTGTATAGTAAAATCACGTTTAAAAACATCTTTTAATACAATTAATATTACAGATAAACCAAGGCAAAGATACAACTCAAATAGCAGAGAAGTTATCACAAT